CTTCAGTGTTCATTTGATTAAAGATTTCAAAAGGAAGTTAACATAGAGGGGAAAAAATGAATAAAGCCAAACAATAATCTCCAGGAACCACAAAACACTTCTAACTTAACTATACAGCTCCATTGTAAACCAAAGTTGGGCTTTAAAACTCCTGCTGGTAGCCAGGAGTATGGTGGCACATACCTTTAATCCTAGTATTCGGGAGGCAGAAGGTGGATCTTTGTGAGATCAAGGCCAGCCTGGTCTACATAGTGAGTTCCATAGTGGGGCTACAAGGAGAACTTCTCTCAAACATACAAACAAATAAACAAAGCAAAAGAGTCCTTTTGTGACTGAGGGACCTGGGGGCCAGGAAGTGGGTGACTCAAGATCCTCCAGTGACCCCAGTCTGCCTTGAATTGTTTACGTCATTGAGTCTTTCAGAGGGAGGGAGGGAACATAGAGAATGAAGGTTCTAGGCTGTAGGATGTGCTACTTATGAGCCTGCTGGTGGAAGTCAGAAGTCCTGTGCCAGTGGCTGAGTGCATGTTTGTATACACAGACACTTGTACTTTTCCTGGTCTCACTGAACAGTGACACTGAGCCAGAGAGATAGCTAGTGCTGTGTGGGATGCTCATGGATACAGGTAGATGTCTTCAGAGAGTGGAAAGCTGATCTGGGAAGACACAGATGCTTCAAACCAGCCTGTCTAACAGCTGCCAGGTCCTAGCATACGGTCCCAGAATTACACAGCTGTTTGCTGACCATTTGATGCAGAGTGGCATCAGGTGTCCTGTAAGCACAGAGCCTCAGCCTCCTAGTCCCCACATCTCTCTTGCATAACCAGCCACGGAGTTTTGTCCCCTCTGAACAGGCCACCGACTGTACCTGGAGAGGCTGGAGACCTCATTCGTACAAGTCAGAGGCTGGCTGGACAGATGGGGATGTGAACTGCCAAAGGAAGGGTATTGACAATGGTAGGGAGAGATGAGTTGGGTGTCAAGCCTCTATTCCCTCTAGTCTGTCAGACTCAGTGGAGAGCTTTTATGAGGAGATTGGTCTCCCATGATGCCAACAACTCTGTCCTCAGTACTGACCCACATTGTCACCCATACAGAACCCTGAAGGCTAGACTCTTTGGATGAGTGTTAAGATACCTGATCGTCAAGTTCCCTTTCTAGCCACATGTGCCACCACCTAGAAGCACTGTTACTTCTGGTTACTTCTGATGGAGCAAGAAAACCCTTGGATGTCTAAGTGTCTAGGTCCTGTGACCAGGCAGCTGACCTCCTGTCCTAGGTCCTGGACTGGGCCCTGCAGGAAGCCCTCTCTTTCATCTAACCAGACCTCTGTGTTCTACTGCTGCTCCCCAGCTACCCCCGTAATGTGCACCCCTGCACACATCCTTCATGCTTCTCGACCTGTGCCTCTGCCTTCCATCAGGCTTCTGCCTCCTGTGGGAAGTGGGCTCTAGAGGAGAGCCCTGCATGCTGGGTTCTTGGTCATCCTACCATCTCCAGGCCCAGCTCCTCAGCTATAAAGGCTTTTAAAGTGGTTCAGCCTCTCTGGGGACAGGAGGTGTGTTGGGTCAGAGTATGGGAGATGGACCATTTACCCCTCTCTAGCTGTGTGTGTCATATTTTCTTACTGCCTCAACATCCCCACAGTCAAGCTAGAGGCACCCCAGTAACTGGTGACCAAGAGCACCAGATAAGACTGGACCCTACTACAAGCTTCCCATCTTCCCCTGACTCTGACCTTGTGACATTCAAAGACACTGTGCTGTTGTGTGTTCTGCCCCTCCCTCCAGCGGTCCTTGCTCTTTTTGCCCTCAACCTGGTTGGTTGAGACTATTTCCTTGGTGCTCCGCCTGGAGACCCCTCCTGGTAGATCGCTACACCTGTTCCTGCCCCCTAACTCCTGTCAAGTGCACATCATGAACATGTGCAGCTCTGTGGATGTGTGAGGCCTGAAGGAGTTAGCGTGTACCAGTGTTAGGAACGGTGCTGGGAACAGTGCTGCCCCAGTGCAGATGGCAGTGCCTTTGCAGGGCTGGTGGGGTGTGAGGAACAGCAGGCGGTGCTCAGTGAACACTGGCCATCTGTGTCATCACCAAGCTGTGCACAGTCAACAGGGACTGTTTCCCAAGGCTGCTGGGGACACCTCACTCATAAGATGAATGGCTGAGTCAGAAGCCGGGTCCCTGAGGAGCCTACATTCTTTCTTGGACTGTCATGAGGGAACCCTGGCCTCCCTAGCAGGAGGCAACCCTTCTGCCTCTTTGCTCCCTGAGATGGCACACAAGGTAGAGTCTATGGTGGGTGCTGGGAAGGAAGGAGGTAGATGATGGCACCGGGCTCAGCCTTGCCTTCTTGGGGCAGTACATAGGGGCCAGGGCTAGAACCTCAGACCAAGTTGCAGGCCTCTAAGAGCCGAGCAGACTATAGACCAAGTAGCTGAGCCTGCAGAGGAAAGATGTCTTGCTCTGGACCTAATAGCCTAATAGCCCTGGGGACTGAGCCTCAGTCCCCAGGAGGCCTGGTCAGCATGTCACAGGACACCTCTCTGTTTGGGTCCTCAGTTGCACCCCAGTTTCTTCCTCCAGCTGAATGATCAGATTTGGGACATGTGAAAGACTTTCAAGGACTTCAGTGGTGATCTGCTTAGTTTTTGTCAACTTGACACAAACTAGAGACACTTAGGAAAAGGGCACCTCCATTGAGGAATTACTCCCATCTGGTTGTCCTTGATCATGTCTATGGGGCATTTTCTTGATTGTTGATTGATGTAGGAGGGCCCTACCTACTGTGGGTGGCCCTATCCTCAGGCAGATGGACCCTGGTTGTACAAGAAAGGTAACTGAGCAAGCCAGGGGAAGCAAACCAGTAAGCAGCACTCCTCCATGTTCTGTGCTTCAGTTCCTGCCTCCAGATTCTTGCCTTGAGTTCCTGCCCTGACTTCCCTTAATGAAGGACTGTAACCCACAAGCCAAATAAACCCCTTTCTTCCTCAAGTTGCTTGTCATGATGTTTATCACAGCAACAGAGAAGCAAACTAGGACAGGTTGATAACTCTATACTATCCTGTGGAGACACAGTTGGCCCTTCACATCTGTGGGGTCAACCAGCCTTGGATGGTACATGTGGTAGACATATGCCTGCTACGGCATATGACCATACAGAAGGGTCATAAGCCCCTAACAATAAAGCACAACACTTATTTATGTGGCATTTGTACTGCAGTTGGTATTATAAATAACCCAAGGATGATTTTAAGAGGCTGGAGGATGTATACAGGTTATATGCAAATATTCCACCATTTTGCATAAGGTACTTGAGCAGCCCCACACTCTGGGAGGTCCTCGGACCTATTGTCATGAACATCAAGGGAGGCTTGTGCTTCTGCTAGGCTGCATAAGGGATGGCCAGGCAGGCTATGGCTGCCCCCCAGCACCCTTGCTCCACTGTTAGAAAAGGGCTCAGAGTGCATACCCTGGAGGCCGGTCTCCTGTGGAACTCACTTTGCCATGTATCACCATGCACCGTACCAGCATCCTGGCTCTGGGCTCTCCCTCAGAGAAAAATTAAGGAAATCTTCAAAATGGGGAGAGCCATCCGGCCAGGCCTACACAGAACAATTTTTATATCCAGGGCAAAAACTAGGTCACCACTTTGAGAGCTGCTGCTGGGCCCAGCTCTCAGCTTCCCAGAAGCACCCCCTGCCTCCTGCTCCCTAGGACTGTGCAAGCCAGAGCTGCACAGTCCATGGTGGATGCTGGGAAGTGGAGTATAGGGTGGGTCAGGGAGCTCACGGGCCATTCAAAGCTTGTTCCCACTGCTTGCTTCTTTCAGGCCCAGCCTGACTTCTCTTTGAAAACTGTCTGTTCTGTAGCAAACTCTTCCTTGCTAAGCTCAGGCATTTTTCAGTCTCCTCTGCCCTTCTTTTCTCAGCATTGGCTTGGTTCTCAGGGGTGGGTGTAGACAGGTCTCCAGATTGTACAGAGCCAGCCACAGCTAAGGGGTAGACTCAGCCCCAGGGTCCCCATAGGTTCTTCCCCAGCCTCTTTCCCAACTGACCCTGAGTGGCTATGGGTACCTTCCTAGCCTCCCAGGAAGAAGCTGCTCGTGGAGCCCACAGTGCCTACACATGCCAGTTATAAGAGACTCTTGACAAATGATCAGATCAGTTAGGCTTGACCAAGTCTCCAGATGGAACTGAGGGACTTAATACAAAAATCCAGAAAGTCAGAGGACAAGTGACCAGATCTTCCAACAAATAGGGGAGGATACCCTGAGAGATAGAAAGTAACTTAGGATAAATAACCAACCTTAACACATGGACCCAATTCAAACAAACTTAGAATAATAGTTCATAATCAGTTTGGGGAAATTGGAAGCTGCCTAGTTATTTCATGATAGTAAGGAATGACTATTGATTATTTTTAGGTGTGACAAAGGATCCTCAGATTTGGGAGGTATTGTGCTGATCACTTACAGAGGATCTGCTGTCCTGGGATGCTTCACAGTAACCCTGGGTGGGAAGAGAGCAGAATACAGGGAGAGTGACCATGAGAGGACAAGGTTGATCCCCGAGTGACAGGGACACAGAGCATCATTACAATGCTGTTTTTAATCTTTGCATGTCTGTGAAAATTGACAGACTAGATTGGAGTTCAGAAGGAGAAGGAGGAAGAGAAGGAGGAAAGGGAAAGGGGGAGGGGGAGGAAGAAGAGAAAGAGGAAGAAGCAAGACACTAATAGATGCCGTACTAACTGCTCAGACTGGCCTGGGCTCAGGTCCCCTGTACTTGGTGAACACAACCACCACAGACCCCCTGAGCAGTCACCCTGCCCTGGCTTCCCAACAGCCTCAGCATCCTTCTAGGGCTGGGGAGCCCAAATAGTGGGGCCTGAGTGGTACCGACTTTCTCCATCCACAGAGCACAGGCCTACACTCGCTCCTCATAAAGGGGCATTCACTGTAGAGGGATAGTCTCCACAGAGGGACTGAGGGATACTCACCGCTGAAAGACAGCTCTTCTGCTCTCGGATGACGGCTCCAAAGCCCAGGAAGCCGGTTGTCATGACAAGTGCTCCTGCGAAGATGAGGATGTAGGCAGAAGCAGTGAAGGTGCTGGAAGCCAGGACACTGAGGTAGCCGCTCTTCTCCACCAGTGTCCAGACACCCACGGCCATGACGGCTGCCCCGCCTACCTGAAGACAGAAGGAAAGCGGATGGCAGCTAAGGCCCTGGCAGGTGCCGCCTGTTGAGTGCCTACTGGGCACCAGACCCTTTTCACATGCCATGTAAATTAGTCCTCCCAAAGGTCTGAAGGAAGTTTGACTGTTCAATTCGATCATACGTGAGCAAATGGAGACTTAAGTGCTCAGAGGATTTGTCCAGGCCATACACACATCTAAGTCTCTGAGAGAGATTTTGAATCTTAGTTTGAGCCCAAATATGTGCTTCTTACTAGGCATCCATGAGGCCCTGTGAGGTAGGGAGATGGCCACCACTGTGGGACTGGTCAGGGATGGAGACCCTCTGCCTTCCCAGTGTTGTTCTGACTCTTCTCTACCTCAGACTGCTCCTTGGTCCACCCACATTTCCCCAACGGTCCTTTCATGCTGGTCCATGCTCACATTTGGATCTCCTGTCCCTGTCTAGTAGATGAAGAAACAGACTCACGGAGGGAAGGAGTCCCACAGGAGGCTCTCCCTCTAAGAAGGGCAAGGTCAGAAAGGGTGAAAGCCAGTGAAGGAGAAATCTTAGGTCCTGAATGCTTCTCACATAGTCACCTCTCCCTGGTGGCTTTCCTGGAAGACTATCTCTCACACACATATCCCTCCCCAGCTGACCCCCCTGACATGACTCAATTCAATCACAGGGCACTCCCTCAACCAGAGTCCTGCATAACTGACCCTCTTCATAATGGGCAACTCCCTCTGCAACTGCCTGAGATGATATAACCTCAGCCCTAAACCCCTTCCCCCTTGCTGAAGGGAGAAAAATATTAAAAGTCTGTAAGGGAGGGTGTGCCCTTCTGATCCCAAGCTGCAAGGAACCTGGGCCATGGGGGGATGTGTGTCCTGTCAGGTTTTTTCTCTAATAAATCTGCTTGCTTTTTAGAAGGTCAGTTTTCTGTCTCTCTGCTTCCTCTTTCCTTACAGCCAGGACATGCCCACTGCACCTGCCCTCTGGAAAGGCCACCAAGCTCCACACACTCGTGCACAGGACTGAGGGGGAGCTGAGTTTCCTTCTTGGTTAATGACACATTCCAGTTTGGTCCTAAAATGAGCAGGGACAGGGCCCTCCTGACTTTTAGGTCTGGGAGCTGCCTCCTAGGGAAGAGTGTCCAGGAATGCAGTCAGTAGCTCAGCCTTCGGGGATGATGAAAGCAAAGAACCCTCTTGATGGCTGTCATAATTAGCTGAACAAAACAAGTTACCCTCCATATGGAATATTGGGTGTGTTTGCCCAGGATTCAGGGATTCTGAATAGCTCTGCCATCTGCTCCTGGGAAGATCAACTTCTATCTGCTCCCTGGTCTCCAGTCCCCACTTAAGGATGGGTCATTTCTCCAGATGGGTGATGGATGCTTCCTCAGGGTCCCTCAATGTGTTCAAAGCTAGAGACACTCCCTCCCAGTCTCTGTTCACTCCCTGAGTGCTTATCCGTGTAAGAGTTCCCCATCTGTCCCACAGTGATTCTGTGGTCATTTCCCTACTCTCTGTTCTGCACAGTCACAGACACCAACTGAACAATGTAAGGGGGGTCCTTAGCAATCAACACACATCAGGTGCCTCTATCACTTGATTGACACGTGCTTAGCCAATTTGTCTTCTAATTATCGCAGCCACCCATGGAGGATGGGGCAGGGTATATTATCTCTGTGCTGCAGATGAGGAAACTGAGCTTGCAGAGAACAACAGTGTTCTCAGATGCTGCTGCTGCTGCTGCTGCTGCAGAGTTTCAAAACTGAGATTTAGGTCCAGGTCTTTTGAGGACAGATCTAGGACTGTCCTTAGATCACACGGCACATTCCTCCATTTCTGCTGTTCAAATAGATGATTCCTTCTAAGCACCCTTTTATCTCTACCAGCCTCCCCACCAGGTAAGAGAACCCACTAAAAGGCCATCACACAGGAGCACAGCTGTGCTGCTCCGCTTGGAACTGGAGAAGATAAAATTCCTTCCACTGCATGATGCGTGTTTTTTTTTCTCTTCTGTTTTTACCTCTCTAAACTTAGGTTGTATCTTTTGATGAATGGCTACAATTATACTTGGCAGCACTTCTTCTTAGTGGTATTAAAAAAATGGTGTATCTTGCAATTGATGATTTTTTTTTTTTTTTTTTTTTTTTTTTTTTTTTTTTTTTTTGTCTTTTTGAAGCAGGGTCTCCCTGTAGCCCCAGCTGTCCTGGAACTCACTATGTAGACCAGGCTGGCCTTGAACTCACAGAGATCCACCTGCCTTTGCCTCCCAAGTGCTGGGACTATAGGCGTGTGCCACCACGCCCAGAGATGATGTTTTTTGATTCAATGGAACCTCAAGATACAGTAAGTTTTTAAGCGTCCCCTTGGAGGTTATCTATGGCCCACACAACCTTAAGGAACAATAAGGGATTTTCTGAGTCTGGGTAGATGGAATTGAGTAACAGATGAGACTGACTAATGGACATGGTTGTTGGTCAGTCTCTGTGATCAGTGGCAGCTTCTAGCAAATACCCCACATATAATATAACTGCTATATAACTTTATATAACTATTTTCTGGAAGGCCTGAGTAAAGGTCTCTGCTTTGAACAACTGGCTATGTGACTGGGAGACAGTCCTTTAACCCCCTTGGTCCTCAGTTCTTTATCTTTCAAATTAGGGATCAACATTAGGTTAGTGGTTTTAACCTATAACCACTAAAGACCCCTTGGCTTACTTGTTCCCAAAGATTTTAGGTTTTGAGGTCTTTGCCTAACAAACATTACAGATCATTAACTAAGAAATAATTGATTTCTCTTTTCTTCCTGCCTTCCCTTTCTGCTGCCCTTTCTTCCTTCCTTCCCCCTCTCTTCCTTTCTTCTCTTTAAAAGAAATTAACTCAAAACTTAGAATGATGCCAGGCAGAGATTTTGAACAGTGTGATATAGTCATGGTCACACTGAGTTCTAATGCCATCTGAAAACTGGGAAACTTGTTAATGGATCCAATCTCTGTAACAGGCACACTACCGGTTTTCCATTAGGCTGGTTAACCCTGTCCTGCATCCTTTCCCAAACCACAGAGTAACCTGAGCACCTGTATCCACCAGAGGATAGGCACAGACTGGGCTAGTAACAGTTAATCTGCTGGACTACACAGAGCCACTGAAAAGCTGATAAAAAGATAAACAGAGCATAAAATAATGCATTCAGGATCCAGGGCCGAGGTCAGTTTTTATGCCAGGTACAGAGAGAGTCCCCATCTAGATGGTCTTCAAGTTTTCCCTATCCCTAGGTCCTCAAAGTCATGGCTATACAATCTCCTTGGGGGGAGCTGTGAAAAACAGTGACCAGAGCCCAAGTCAATCCAGTGAGACCCAGGTAGAGACATTTTATAAAGTTCCCAGTAGTCTCTTTGAGAACCATAACCCTGGCCCAAGTGTTCCATCCCTCTCTTCCCAGTAGGTGGTGCTGTGTGAAGTCCTGTCGAGTGTAGCTGGCCTATGGAGAGAGTCAAGCTTCCAGCTTCTTCCCCCAGAGCAATTGCCTGGGGCGCTATTGACTTGTGTTCAGGATTTGAGCTGAGTGATTTGTCCCAGTACAGGCAGATCTTGCAAAGCAGCTGAGCCTGTAAGCCAGCTGGGTCTCTAGCCACAGCACAGGGTCTGGGCAGGATCTGGAGGGACATTCGACTCCGATTAAAATCTAGAAAACAAATACATACCTGGTCTGGTCTGATACCCAGAAGAAAGCAAGAGATTAGTCTGAATCAACAGGACCAGGACTGGGACCTGCCCTCTCCTTACTCCAGAGTTCCATCTGGTGGCAAAGGTGGCCACTGTGACCAGCTGTGTGTGTGGGGGTGGGGTGGGGGGGTGGGGGTGGGGTGAGGGTCACAACTCCTTCAGGAACTTTGATCTCCTGATTGGGCCTTGGTCAGCTCTGGACAAGAAGTAAAACTGCTCAGTGTTGGAATAGGTCACCCAGAAAGATACCACAGGAGGGTGGAAGCCAGCTCACATCACTGTACCCATGGCGGTGGGACAGACAATCTCTGTAAGCTACAGTGTTTTTATCTGCAGATTGGCGCACTGGGCAGGAGAAACACTGTCCCCAGAGCCTGTTTCCTCAGCTGTTTGCATCAAGTTGGTTTCATAGCATTCAGCTCCTCATGGGGCAGAGCTGGGTTTCTGTCAAATATTAACTGAATTTCTCAGCCATGGCCAATGGCTGATGAACCAGAAAATGCTGCAGAGCAGGAGGCTTGGTGAAGACATGACAGGACAGGAGGGATGGAGCAGATCACCTGCACCCCATCATTGTAGAAACTGCCCCTTAATAGAAAATGCCAAATGCTGTTTGTGTGGTCATGGGGACCATGTGGGTAGCTGCCTCTGCCCTAGGTCTGATAGAACTAAGGCAAAGACGTGAAGGAAAGCAGACAGAAGCTGAGAATGATTATAGAATTTTTCTTGGTCAGAATTTTACAGATAGGGTTTCTGTGCTGGGACCACAGAAAGGACTATGGGACCTCCAGGAAGGATACCCTGGGTAGGGTTCTCTGCTGGTCAGTTCATGACATGGAAACACAGGAGAAACACAGGGTGACTCTGTGTGTGTGTGTGTGTGTGTGTGTGTGTGCGCATGTGGGCGTGCTTTTTCACTATCTGCTCTGTGTCAAGTATCCCCTTCCCTTCTGGAAAGGTTTAGGGTTGAATAGGAAGACTTGCACATTTAGGAACCCCCTTCTCATCCATCAATGGCCCCTGGGTGGCCTCTTTAATAGTACCATGACTCAGGTCCCCAGAAGCCTCTCCTCACTGTGCTGTTGTCCACTCGGGCTCCTGTGGTCTCAGCCATCCTCGAGCTCCTGACCAGGTCCCCTGATGATCTGCATAGTTCCCCCTAAACCAGAGCCTCAGGCCTAAACTCTTCTGCATGGGAAGTCTTTAAATATCTGCCCCCACTTGATTATGGCTTTATCTTCTACTTTCCTTCCTCTATTCCCCTACTTTAATTA